CTTGGAATTTATAATATTAATACAATATAAAAAAAAAACAAACCTAAATCTCAAAATTAGGTTTAATCTGAAACTTTTAACTCAACCTAATTTTATGATTTAGATTAAATAAAAAATCAAATTTATCAAATTTAAATTATTCAGAATACTAGCTAAAGATTACAAGCATAGGTTGTGTAAAATAAATATTTATAAAAGGATTTAGATTTTATAATAGTAGGTTATTATAAAAAATATAGACAAAAAATTTAAATACAAAATTTTCATAACACTGGCTACCTGGAGGTTGTGAAATTAAATTATATATAAATAAGATAACTATGTAATGCTATTATACAGAACCAAAAACATAACTTCTGAATTAACTCGATCAGATAATTTTACTCATTGAGTTTAAATTATGAGTTTCAAATACACTTTTACTAATCATTTTTTTGTATAAAAATAAGGTAAAATTTTGGATATTTAATAATTTTAAATATCTCTATTTTAAAATTTAATCATATTTAATCTAGTATTATATGTTAATATTAGGATTATAAACTATAAAACATGCATAGCATGGTTTTAAATAGGTATTTGATAAAGTTATTGGATACAAAGCAGAAAAACAGAATTATTTGCAAATTATTCATTTTATCTAGACATGTATATAGCATCCAATAATAGGTTTATTTGGTGGCTTCAATGACTAAACTAAAATTATCATAACAACCTGTACATCACTTTTTACTAATAATTTAAACCTTTATGTTGCTATTTATATTAATTTTTTTCATTTGTTCATAAAATTTTTTCTTCAAAGCATCAGTTTCGATAAAAAAAAAAAAGATTACTAAAATATAGAACCAATTCGATGAACTATTTTATATAAATATAATTAATTAATTATTTATTTATTTATTTAAAACTTTAATTCTTTGCCTAACAATTAATAACTTTAAAAATTATTCAGTTATAAGAATTTTAAAAATATCAAATATAGTCTTTGTCAGTTATAAAATTTTAAAATAATCTAGCTAAATATAGTTTTTGCCCAGTTATAAGAATTTTAAAAATCATTTAACCAATTAGTCTTCTTTTTAAAAACTTTAAATGACCTGAACAAATAAAGCTTTTCACCAGCTATGAGAATTTTAAAAATTTTTGACTAAAATATAGTATGAAGATTTTAAAAATAACCTGACAAAATATAGTCTTCGTTCTACTATAAGAATTTTAAAAATTACTAACAGACCAAACAAAACTTTCACCAACTACAAAATTTTAAAAACTACTATGAGAATTTTAAACTCATCTAAAATGTTAATCTTCATATTCAGTTTTGCTTTTTATGAAAAATAACTTATTTGCATAGGTATAGCTGTTAGCAAAACCTTTTTTGCTTGGTGACAAAAGATAAAACCTAAACTCCAAAATAACGAAACCTCAAATTCTACTGATGAAAGACAAAACCCAAATTCAAAATGATGAAGCCCTAGTGCTCCTACTAAGAAAAAAAAAAACTGAATTGATGAAACTTTATAATAATAGTGAATCCTTACTTCTCTCACTAAAAAATTACTACTATACTAAAATTTTGGTTTTGATGAAGCTATTAATAAAAATAATAAAATTATCTCTGTAATTTTAGATATTTAACCCATCAATAAATCATTAATGAGGCTTTTTATTTATATTTAATATTGAAGATATTTATTGACTTATGCGTATATTTAGTTTTAAAAAGCTAATTAAAGAAATTATAAATAGCAAATAAACCATTAACATCTATGTTTAATGCCGAAGATGTTTATTGGCCTGTATATTTAGGTTTTGAAAAGCCAATTACAAAAATTTTATAATTGAAGATCTGAAAACAATGTATGTATGTATTATATATACCTCTTATTATTTTTACGTATTATCTGTATAATTTATTAATAAAAAGTCTTTTATTGATTTAGCCAATAGGATATCGATATACAGAAATATGTGAAATAATCTTAATTGTGCTAATTTACTTAATTGATAAATTACTTCTTAAGTTATATATTAAAATTGATATAATTGTATATTTTAAATTTTAGTCTTATATAAACATAAATGTAAGAGCTAGTAGCATCCTTACTTACATTTCTCATCAGTTTCGTCACCTTTCGTCAGTTTTATCACCTTTCGTCATTTCGTCATTTGAGATTTTAATTGACGAAAGACGAAACTAGGTTTCGCATTTCGTCAGCGCGAAACCTCAAGGTTTCATCTAATAACTATACACACGAGTATATATTTTCATATATATCTGTGTGAATAAGCTTTCAAAAAAAGCACAGGTTGTTATATAAAACCCATACGATAATTATAAGGATATTGATGATTCAGCAAACACGACTAGAATAATCAAAGTCGAATCTAAATCAACATACCAAGTTACCCACCCAGCAAACCATGTAAAAACACTATAGAAAGAAAGACCCAACTGAATAACTCGACCAGAATGTAATTCGATTATCATAAGTATGATTCAGCAAACACGACTAGAATTATCAAAGTCGAACCTAAATCAACATACCAAGTTACCCACCTGATAAAATACGTAAAAACACCACAGCAAAGAAAGACCCGACTGAATAACTTGATCAAAATGTAATTCAATTATCATAAGTATAATTCAGTAATAACAACTAGAATTATCAAAGTCGGACCTAAATCAATATACCAAGTTAGCCACCTGGTGGATACGTAAAAACACTATAGAAAGAAAGATCCTACTGAATAACTCGACCGAAATATAATACAATTATCATAAGTATGATTCAGTAAAAACAACTAGAATTATCAAAGTCGAACCTAAATCAACATACCAAGTTAGCCACCTGGTGGATACGTAAAAACACCATAGAAAGAAAGACCTGACTGAATAACTTGACTGGAATGTGATTCGATTATCATAAGTATGATTCAGTAAAAACAACTAGAATTATCAAAGTCAAACCTAAATCAACATACCAAATTAGCCACCCAGTAAAACATGTAAAAACACCACAGCAAAGAAAGACCCAACTGGAATAACTCGACCGGAATATAATTCGATTATCATAAGTATGATTTAGTAATAACAACTAGAATTATTAAAGTCGAACTAAATCAATATACCAAGTTAGCCACCCAGTGGAATACGTAAAAACACAACAGCAAAAAAAGACCCGACTGAATAACTCAACTGGAATGTAATTCAATTATTATAAGTATAATTCAGTAAAAACAACTAGAATTATCAAAGTCTAACCTAAATCAACATACCAAGTTAGCCACCTGGTGGAATACGTAAAAACACCATAGCAAAAAAAGATCCGACTGAATAACTCGACTGGAATGTAATTCGATTATCATAAGTATAATTTAGTAAAAACAACTAGAATTATCAAAGTCTAACCTAAATCAAAATATCAAGTTAGCCACCCAGTGGAATACATAAAAACACTATAGAAAGAAAGACCCGACTGAAATAACTCGACCGGAATGTAATTCGATTATCATAAGTATGATTCAGCAAATATGACTAGAATTATCAAAGTCGAACCTAAATCAACATACCAAGTTAGCCACCCGGTAAAATACGTAAAAACACCATAGAAAGAAAGACCTGACTGAATAACTTGATCAGAATGTAATTCGATTATCATAAGTATGATTCAGTAAACACGACTAGAATTATCAAAGTCGAATCTAAATCAATATACCAAGTTAGCCACTCGGTAGAACACGTAAAAACACCACAGCAAAAAAAGACCCAACTGGAATAACTCGACCGAAATGTAATTCGATTATCATAAGTATAATTCAGTAAAAACAACTAGAATTATCTAAGTCTAACCTAAATCAACATACCAAGTTACCTACCCAGTAGAATACGTAAAAACACCATAGAAAGAAAGATCCAACTGGAATAACTCGACCGGAATACTGGATTGGACCTAATTCAAATATTCATATAATTCGATTATCATAAATATGATTCAGTAAACACGACTAGAATAATCAAAGTCAAACCTAAATCAACATACCAAGTTACCCACCCGGTAGAATACGTAAAAACACCACAGCAAAAAAAGACCTGACTGAATAATTCGACTGGAATATAATTCGATTATCATAAGTATAATTCAGTAAAAACAACTAGAATTATCAAAGTCGAACCTAAATCAACATACCAAGTTAGCCACCCGGTGGAATACATAAAGACACTATAGAAAGAAAGACCCGACTGAATAACTTGATCAGAATGTAATTCGATTATCATAAGTATAATTCAGTAATAACAACTAGAATTATCAAAGTCTAACCTAAATCAATATACCAAGTTACCCACCCGGTGGAATACGTAAAAACACCATAAAAAGAAAGACCTAACTAAATAACTTGATCAGAATGTAATTCAATTATCATAAGTATGATTCAAGTAAACACAACCAGAATAATCAAAGTTGAATCTAAATCAACATACCAAGTTATCCACCTGGTGAAATACGTAAAAACACCAGAGAAAGAAAGACCTGACTGAATAACTTGACCGGAATGTAATTCGATTATCATAAGTATAATTCAGTAAACATGACTAGAATAATCAAAGTCAAACCTAAATCAACATACCAAGTTAACCACCCGGTAAAACACGTAAAAACACCACAGCAAAAAAAAGACCTGACTGAATAACTCGACTGGAATGTAATTCGATTATCATAAGTATGATTCAGTAATAACAACTAAAATTATCAAAGTCGAACCTAAATCAACATACCAAGTTAGCCACCTGGTAAAATACGTAAAAACACCATAGAAAGAAAGACCTGACTGAATAACTTGATCAGAATGTAATTCAATTAATATAAGTATGATTCAGTAAACATGACTAGAATTATCAAAGTCGAACCTAAATCAACATACCAAGTTACCCACCCGGTAAAACACGTAAAAACACTATAGAAAGAAAGACCCAACTAAATAACTTGATCAGAATGTAATTCAATTATCATAAGTAAAATTCAGCAAAAACAACTAGAATAATCAAAGTCGAACCTAAATTAACACACCAAGTTACCCACTTGGTAAAACACGTAAAAACACCATAGAAAGAAAGACCCGACTGAATAACTTAACTGGAATGTAATTCGATTATCATAAGTATGATTCAGTAATAACAACTAGAATAATCAAAGTCGAACCTAAATCAACATACCAAGTTAGCCACCCGGTGGAATACATAAAAACACCATAGAAAGAAAGACCTGACTAGAATAACAAATATTCATGTAATTCGATTATCCTTTAAACCGTTTGAAATTCAGTGCAAATTTGCCCTGAATTTTACTTAAAAATACTTCTGATCTATTTTTTTAAAAATTTAATATATTTAATTAAAATTTTTTTTAAATAAAAATTAAAAGTAAGGATTATGTTTTGCAAAATTTATATTTAAACTACAAGATAAAAATTTAACTTACTTATAGGCTAAAAATTTACAAAATTTAAAAAAATTTTTAATTAAAAAAAAAATTTACAATCATTTGAAAATAAAGAATAACACCTTTTGTTATTACAACTTTTATGATTTATTTGTAAAAATTAAGACTTATATTAGTTGTAGATTTTTTTTTTATTAACAAAAACATATAATATTTTAAAAATTTAAAGAAAAATCTTATAGTAAAAAGTTCAAAATAAAAACTTATAGTAAAAAGTTCAAAATAAAAACTTGAAGATTTTATTACTTCTAAGTTTTTTAAAAAAAATTTCTTAATAAAGTTATTAGAATATATTTAAAAAAACATTTTTTATTTAGAAAGTATATAGTTAAAATTAATATTTAAAATTTTATTTTAAAAATAAAATTTTAGACAAAATTTCAGGGCAAATTTGTAGGAGAAACGGTTTAAGAGATAATAAGAATATTGATGATTCAGTAAACATGACTAGAATAAACAAAGTCGAGCCTAAATTAACATACCAAGTTACCCACCCGGTAGAACACATAAAAACACCATAGAAAGAAAGACCCGAATGAATAACTCGACTGGAATACTGGATTGGACCTAATTCAAATATTCATGTAATTCAATTATAGTAAGGATATTGATAATTCAGTAAACATGACTAGAATTATCAAAGTCGAACCTAAATCAACATACCAAGTTACCTACCTAGTAGAACACGTAAAAACACCATAGAAAGAAAAACCCGACTAAATAACTCGACCGGAATGTAATTCGATTATCATAAGTATGATTCAGTAATAATAACTAGAATTATCAAAGTTGAATCTAAATCAACATACCAAGTTAGCCACCCGGTGGAATACGTAAAAACACCACAGCAAAGAAAGACCCGACTGAATAACTTGATCAGAATGTAATTCGATTATCATAAGTATAATTCAGTAATAACAACTAGAATTATCAAAGTCGAACCTAAATCAACATACCAAATTAGCCACCTGGTGAAATACGTAAAAACATCACAGCAAAAAAAGACCTGACTGAATAACACGACCGGAATGTAATTCGATTATCATAAGTATGATTTAGTAAACATGACTAGAATTATCAAAGTCGAGCCTAAATCAACATACCAAGTTAGCTATCCGGTAAAACACATAAAAACACCACAGCAAAGAAAGACCCGACTGGAATAACTCGACTAGAATGTAATTCAATTATCATAAGTATAATTCAGTAAAAACAACTAGAATTATCAAAAAGTCGAACCTAAATCAACATACCAAGTTAGGCACCCAGTGGAATACGTAAAAACACCATAGAAAGAAAGACCCGACTAAATAACTCGACCAGAATGTAATTCGATTATTATAAGTATGATTCAGTAATAACAACTAGAATTATCAAAGTCGAACCTAAATCAACTTACCAAGTTAGCCACCCGGTGGAATACGTAAAAACACCACAGCAAAGAAAGACCCGACTGGAATAACTCGACCAGAATACTGGATTGGACCTAATTCAAATATTCATATAATTCGATTATCATAAGTATGATTCAGTAAACACGACTAGAATAATCAAAGTTGAACCTAAATCAACATACCAAGTTAGCTACCCAGTGGAATACGTAAAAACACCACAGCAAAAAAAGACCTGACTGAATAACTTGACCGGAATACTGGATTGGACCTAATTCAAATATTCATGTAATTTGATTATAATAAGGATATTGATGATTCAGCAAACACGACTAGAATAAGCAAAGCTAAACATACTAAGTGATCTGGCTGGAATAATCACATTGAACTCATCCAGGTCATTTTCCGTACGTCAAATTAGGATAATCAAATTGAACCTAATTCAACATACCAAAATGATCCAGATGAAATAAGCAAACTTGACTAGTATAACCAAATTGAACTTAATTCAACATGCCAAGTGACACATCTTGCATAATCAAATTGAACCATACCAAAAGCTTGTTTTATACAAGAAAATTGAAGTAGAAATTCAATCTTACAGATCGAGCCTCCTTATTTATTTACTTTCTTACATCATCGGTCTATTAAAATAGACTTATCACAATTATACACCCTTATCCCTTATCGTTATTAAGTTCTATTAATTATCTACCCCTGCGCAACTTCGGTGTTAAGTAACATGTGGAACCAATTATATCCCAACACTAGAATAAGCAAGTTGAATCTACCAAAACAACCTGGCTGAAATAATCAAATTGAACCTAATTCAACATTCCAAAGTAACCCGATTGAATAAATCTACAAATTGACCCGGCTGAAATAATAGTGTGGCTGAAAAAGTTGAATCTAATAAATTAAAATTGGTAATTAAAAATTAAAATTGATTACTTAAAATTAAAATCGATTTAAAAAAAATTAATTGATCATTAAAAAAAAATCAAAAAATAAATATTGATTTAAAAAAACTTCCGAATTAAATTAATAATAAGTAAGGAACCTAACATATAAAAACTTTCTTGCTTTGCATAATCTTCAACACAGCTAGTTAAAACAAATAAATCGAATCTAATTCGACATACTTAACTAGAATAACCTAATTCAACTTACCAAAAAACCGGTTAAAACAATTAAAACCCTGCTAGAATAACATATTGAATCTAATTTAACATACTAAAGCAACTGGCTAAAGCAATCTACATAAAATTACTAAAGTAGCCCGGCAAGAATAAATTGAAACACCTCAACATACCAGTGATCCGGTTGAAATAAGTTATTTCAATCTTCTGATCCAAGAATGTTAATATCGAGATTTAACATTGCTAAAAAGGTTTCCTTCTTCTGATCCAAGAACATTACTACCGAGATTTATCAGATCCAAGACTATTATTGAGATCTAATGTCGTTAAGGAGTTTTTGCAAGTGCATCAGCTAATGCTTTTCCTCCTTCGGATCCAAGATTAATACTACTAAGATTCAAATCTTTCAGTATGGTATTCTTACAAAGTGCCTTCGTTAGTTCGTTTATATGGCTATAATATAAATTCTAGACTTAGCTAAAATAAGCGAGTTGAATCTAATTCAACATGCCGAAGTAGCCTGTCTAAAATAAGGATCAAAGTGAAGAAGTTAACCTTATTGTTATCGTTATTTGTGCTTAAAAAAAAAAATTTTTTTTGATAATCCCTCGGATTGGCCAGATTTGATCCGAATCCGGGGATTGGATCAATGTCGGTTTGATCCCGGATCAATCCATGATTTTTGATCCAGTTCGGAGCACTAGTCTGTACTACCACCCTGACTAGAGCTTACGAGATAAGCCATCTGTTAGGCGATTATTACACCTTGCACCTATTTGGTCTGACCATCATTACAGGATCTATATCTCAACATTCAAATAGTCATCAATACATAGAAGAATTCAATTTTTTGTTGTTGGTAGGAATTAAACTCTGGATGTGCCACTTAGGAGAGCGACAACTTGACCACTTCACTAAGTTGCTACACCCCTAAAGTGAGTTCTTCTTGTAGTTTGAGGTTTAAATCTTTTATAATTAATTTAAGCTCTTCAAGTTCTAGATTTTTGCCAGCTTGTTATTAAAATAATTGAGTTTTTTGTGAAGCTTCTAAATGTTTTTCTCAGTAGCTGGCTCAGTTTTGATAGCTTTTGTAATAGATTGAATTATACATTTGTGCCAATTCTAATCTTTAGTGTTTTGAATATTTTGAAGTTCTGTGGTAATGTCTGCTTTAAATTCAGATGAATTTCAAAGTTTTCTATCAAATTTCCATAAGGATTTCTTTAGATATTTGGGCTTGAAGTTAATTTTGCTTTCTATTAGCAAATGATCTGAGTTACCAAAATGGGTGCATGTATTCGTACAGAGATGGCTATAGCTTGTTTTAATTAATATGTAATCTAGACGAGTCGCTATTCTCTGGCCTCCTTATATAGTTTGGTAGTAGGTGAAAAATGGATTTTCTTTAAGATTTTTTAGAAGACCTTTTGATGGATCATGTTGTGCTGGTGCTTGGCTTATTCTATTGGTTTCTGGATTTAAGTTGGTGTTGAAGTCTCCTGCTATAATACTTATACTGTCATTTGAGGTGTCCGGAGCTCAGTTTCTAAGGAAGGATGCCCTTTCGTCTTAATAAATGAGAAAACTTGATGTTTAATTTCTGCCCTAGCTTTGGTGACTCGTCCATTGTGTGATTCTTTTTTGTCAGTAAGTCTTATATTCTTTTTGCCTACTAATATTGCAGTTTTGAAGGACTATATAGAATCAAAGCCCCAAATTTGTAATAAGAAATGTCTTGTGTCCAAGTCTTTTAGGTTGGTTTTTTGTATCATAATTATGTCTATA